GGAGTTCATTGTTGTTATTATTTTGTAGCGTTGTCATTACCAGTGGATTTGCTGCCTCTAAAAAGCGGAAAAAATTGGAGAAAAATCTACAGTGAACGGAATAGTTTCACATTCACTGGCCCGTGAATCTCAATAATTTAAAATGTCTGTCTGGAAATTGTTTCCACAATCTCATATGGCAAACGAAGCAAGCAAACTAGTTTTAATCCATCAAATATTATTGTATGGAACTCATTTACATTGAGAGTGAATGAGTGACTGATGTGTGGTGTGGAGTAGCATTGCAGTGATCACCCGAGCGAACAGCACACCATGACTGGTACGCCGTATTGGTGTCCACCGCGGCCTTGCACTACACTACGCTAGATTGCCGCCGTGGTCTAGCTGGATCGACTGTGCGTAGGGGTGCGTACCCGGGGTACATGTACGTACTTGCATCGTTAGCCAAACAAAACTTACGAACATGATTGGAAAGCTAGTGGGTGTTAGCCATCCTAGAAGGAGAACCAACATTGATCTTAATCTCACTGTATAAATAAACATTTATTTATGCAATCTGTGCCCGGACTGTTACATTTACCGGGAGTCGACGCCGAGGAAATACAAGTCACATCGGTCTTTCATTGATCTCGTTTCGCAAAACTGTACTACTCACCACAAAAACAGAACAAATTCATCTCTCTGTACTCGTAGACATACATTTTACCCCAATTTCGTTTATCGCATTTGCTTGGATAAATTATCCTGGGTTAACCTCACTTCATCAACATGATATGGCAAACTAATCAGGGGGCCACCAGCATCAGTCGCGGAATCTAGAAGCGCGCGTACTAGATGGAATGCTTCGACCGAACGCACGTTAGCGTACAGAGCAGACGACGATGACCTCACAATATTGTCTGATTTCGATATTGAAATCCGCTGTTATTGGTTATGGACCATTTTATTTGATGCCAATTTTGGTATTAATTACTTGTTATCTAACAATTTCTCTTCTTTTTCAATAGTTTCTTCTTTATTCGTTTTCGAAAACAACATTGTATTCATATCCATGGGACAGGGCCTTGATGCTCAATAATATAATACATTATCGCGAATAATCTGCTGCAATGACGCCATAAAATCCACTGGCATTGATAATGCTATAATATAATTTCATATATATGCCATATCTCAAACAAGTTCGTGGTGACACAGAGCATAACGATGATATACCACAACTAATGGGGTACTTTGAAATTCCGAATTATATCAAACTTTTGAAGATAAAAGATATTGCTTTGCTCAATGGATTTATTTTCATATCACAGTTATTGAAACTATTTTGCCAATTTCCTAAAAAAAATAGCACATTGACAGACAACTGAATGTTGTTACTGTGACCAACTGCACATTTTGAATACTTATCATTGACTCATTACATTACATGTGACTAATTAAAGTTGTCTTTTATTTTTGATTATCATTAAATGCATTTAAAGGCTAATTGTTAAACTGCCACACATTTTTTCAAACATGGTATAGATCTGTATAAAACAAGATCAAAATGGATACGATTTTAAAGAATTGAATAACAAATTTACTTACCTATACAAGCGGAATGCGTTATATGTGTGTGCGTGCGCTTGTGGGTGGGTGTGCGTGTTGTTGTGTGCGTGCGTGCGTGCGTGCATGCGTGCGTGTGTGTTTGTGTTTCACTGATATCTCAAGAACCATACATCAGTTTTTGATGACACTTGGTGCATAGATGCTCTGGGCCAATGCGCAGATTTTATTAGGTTTTGGTAAAAATCCATGCATATTAATTACCTAATTTGCATGATAATTAGCTGATTTTTAGCTGTTCCATGACTGTTCCACTGATATCTAAAGAACCACTCATTGGATTTAGATGAAACTTGGCACACAGATGCTCCAAACTAATGCGCAGATTTGATTAGTTTTGGGTAAAAATCTGTGCAATATTAATAACCTAATTTGCATAATGATTAATCAATTTTCGGCTTTTCCACTGATATCTCAAGTACTAATCATCACATTTCAATAAAACTTGGTACATA